AAGGCCTGTTCGGCCTCACCGCCACGGAGGCGCTGGTGGCCGCAGGGTTGGCGCGCGGCCAGAGCAGCGCCGAACTGGCCCTGGACATGGGCGTGCAGCCCAACACCGTGCTGTCCCACATCAAGCGCGTGCTGCTGAAGAGCGGCGCGCGCCAGCAATCGCAGCTCGTGTCCTTGATCCTGCGCAGCGCCGCCATGCCGCACCCCTGGCTTGCGGGGGATGACGCGCCGCAGGCGCCAGGTCTTGCCCGAACAGGCAACGACAGCGCCGCGGGCGCTGGGCACAGTGGCCGGCAGACCCGACTCGCCAATGGCGAGCCCACCTGATCCTTCGCTGTCATCACCTTCCCGCCAGGAACGCCCCCTCATGAAACAACTGACCCTCTGGACCGCTCTCGCCCTGGCCACCGCCGCCGCGGGTGCCTTCGCCCAAAACTCGATGTCCGTGGCGAACGTCTCCTACATCTATGCCGCACCCGTGACGGACCGTCTCGTGTCCAACACCACCGGCGCCACCACCGAGAGTTCGCTGACCGCCAACACCACCTACAACGGCCTCGACCGCGCCTACTCGCGCGCCTCGCTGGCCGAGGGGTCGCTGAAGGCCTCCGCGGGTGGCACGGCCGACTACATCAACAGCGGCGCGACAGCCATGTTCGGCGACACCTTCGGCGCCATCGACGCCACCACCGGCCAGGCCCACGCATGGCAGCCGGGCGAGAAGGTCACGTTCAACTTCTCGGTGACGGGCGCCATCCAGCAGTCGCTGACGACTGCGCAGATGGTGGCGCTGGACAAGGACTTCCAGAGCCTGGTCATCTTCAACTTCTACGCCTACCGCCCCGGCTACATGGCGCTGCAGACCGAGATGGACGCGCTGTGGAGCAAACCCTGGGACGCCACAGCGATGGCGGAATACACCCGCCTGAGCGCCGCCATCGAGGCGCTGCAGATCACCGGCAGCGGCGTCGGCGTCTATCTGGGCCGCCCGTACACGCCGTGGTTCGATGGTGCGACGGCGAACTACATCGACATCCAGGCGAACACCCCTACCGTCATCAGTTCGACCTTCGAGCCGGGCGGCAGCTTCGAATGGGTCGCCGTGCTGGACGTGTCGGCGCGCTTCGAGTCGGACACTCCGCTGCCCCAGCGCGCCACCTTCGTCGTCGACTTCTCGCACTCGGTCGGCGCGTCCTTCAGCGGCCCCGAGGGCACGGTCACCACGTCGGCCTCGGGCTTCTTCCCCAACACCGTCAGCGCCGTGCCGGAACCCGCGACGGCGCTGCTG